GCCTTATGGTTAGTGAGGTCCCATTAAAAGATCCCTAAAGGAAAACATGCAGCCCTTGCTGACTTGGATTTGCACTGCAAAAATTTAGAAGAAAACGGCTGGTTAACATTAGAGACATTTTGAAGTACTTGTCTTTTAGAAATGCAAAGAATAATAACAATAGAATTTCTTTGATGGCTCAGAATTTATTTTATTTTATGTATTTATTAATCGATACACTTTCTCCTCTATTTCAACCAAAGATTCTGTACATTGAAGCAATAAAATAAGTAAAGACATGTGTCTGCTTTAAAATCTTGATATTGGTTTAGTCTCTGTAGTCCTTTTTCATGCTTTCTGGGTAAAGGCTCTCTGTTCTCTCAGCCGGGCAGTACTTTGATCTCAGAAGCAGTGCCATTTGGTTGTTGTAAATATATGTGGTGCCTTTGATCTAGTACTTAGCTGGTCTTATTTAAAATAGATAGCTTCTTTTATCTAAGCAGTGTTTACTAGGTCTCTCTCTATGAAAGATGGTTTAAATTGCTATTATTTAGCTAGAAATTTATGTACTTTCATGAGAGTGCCCGATCTGAATTTAATTCTCTAAATTCTAATAATCCAATATCTCTATTATAGATTCTCTAAAGCCAGATTTCTGCAAAAATGAACTGCTCTTACAGATGTCAGATGATATTTGCAAAATTTTGCTTTTTAATGGAAAACTGGTTTTTCAAGAATAATGAACAGTTTACATTCAGACAAAAATGGTATCTCAGAGCATCTGAACTTAATGGCTAATATCCCTCTAAAATTCAGATTTTAACATTTTTATATTACTGGCTTATACATACTATACTGAGTATGTTGAAATGAGATTTTCACAAATAACAAGAAGTATATATTTTAATTCTCTTTAAGAGCAATTATTGAACATTTCATCAGGTGCTTTAGAGATTTGTATTTGGGTTTTCTTGGCTGCATTCAGTTATTTAACAAACTTCGTTACAGATACCAGGATCCCAAGGTGACTAAGTCAAACTTCTCTTAGGGAGCTCCATCTGGGAACAGGTGGAGGGTGCAGAGGATATGGCAATATGGTATTGCCTGTCAAGGACAATGATCTCCCAGTTAGACTTGGAAGAGATCAGGGAAAACCTCCTGGAAGAGGAGGCATTTGAGTCTCAGTGTAAAGTTGCTGATTCAGAACTCAGCATTCCATAAATTTCCAGTCAAGTCCATAATGTAAAGTCAAGCTATGTGTGTAGAACCTCGCTTTCTAGTCCCTGGTTTAATATAGATGGCCTAGACCTTGGGAGAGGCCTAACTCTTTCGTGACTTTGTTGTCTAAGGCTTCACCAAAGCCTTCTTGCTTGTCACTCAAGGAGAATTCTAAACTATTTTCACATACATTTTGAACTTTAGCTCTATTCTCTTAAAGAGGATATCAGCAATCTCCCTGAATTCTAAGCTAAAATCACTGCCTTTAATTGTTCCATTTTGTTAGGCTTTGGCATGTTTTTTCACCCTCTCTGCTTCTTTCACATGCTACTATGACCATGTTCAAGCACATTTATATGCTAATCTTCAGAATAGGTTCTCTGGAGGGAACTTAAGAAGTAGAAGAAGGGCCCTTCCAGGCAGAAGGGCAAGGAAGAAGTATTCTAAATTTAAGTCCAGGACTGTGGGATTATCTCCCCAAAAAGGTTAGATAGACTTTTCTAAAGATTTTTTTTTATTTTTTTCTGCATACAAGAACTGGGGTGTAGGCCAGTGTGGTGATGGCTGACAGGATTCACCAGAGACAGAGTGCAGAGCAGAAAAGGCAGATCTGCTGAATACACTGCTGAGGGGATCAATCAACAGGTGAGACAGAAGAGGTCTGCTACGCCATGTGGGTCAGCTTGAATAGAACTCAAGAAGCAGTGGTTGCCATGCGGGTCTTGAATAGAACTCAAGAAGCAGTGGTTGCCAATAGCCTGAGTTTTAAGACCTATCTCCTTGCCTCAGCAGGGAGGCCCATGATAACATTACTTTTAAAGAATGCAGGATATTTTTAGTTAAATGATGAAGGTCTCAGGGGCTGAAAAGAAGATCTTTTTTTTTTCTTTCTTCTGTGCCCTTTCCTAATAGAAGAAGAAATCACCATTCCATAAACTTTGACTCTTTAATTTAAAAAGCAGTCATTGCCCCCCCCTTTTATGACCTTGAAGGGGGTTGTCATCCAGGTATAGATATATCAGTGAACATGTCCTCTCTTTGAAAACTCTTAACTCTGAGTAAATGATGAGGTCATCCCCTCCTTATCATGCAAAGCCTTCTCCACCTCTCTCCTTGACAGCCTAGGTCCCTTAGCACATGATGTATAGCCCTGGCTTGCCCCAGTTTACTTTAGAATTTATACTTAAGCTCTCCACATATGCTGTTGACTTTTGTTGTGAAAACTTTTCTGATGCTGTTTTGATTGCTCATCCAATCCCAGAAGAAGCCAGAAGGGTGGGGAATATCCCTCTCCCTCAACAGGATGGTCATAGTAGTTAGTTACAACTACTGCAAGAGGGAGGTTCTGGACTGAGATCACAGGGAGCCAAAGACTGACCTCAGGGGATTGTGCTGGAAGTGTGAAGAAAGAGAGGAGAGGCTGTTCTGTGGAGGTCATAAGATCATGATTCGGAGTCTTCCTGGGAAGGTGAAGCAATGACCATGTGGAACAGATGAAGTGAAGACAGGGTTGTGCTCAAAGCACTGTAGATGAGTTTGTTTGTTCTTATGGATGGCACCGAGACTTAGAGGCTGCAAAACTATGTAATGAAGCAGGATTTAGGTACTTTCCCTTTCATCCTTTCATTCCTGTCAGCAGGCAAGTAAAGCTCACCGAAGAATCATGCATTTTAGGAATGAGGTGATGAGGTGCTCTGGAGAGCTGACAGTCTAGCCCCCCCAACCCACTCCTACTCCACCCCCAACCAAACCAGGGAGGGACACAGTTCTCCAAGTTTCAGGAAGCCCAGGTCTCACGTCACTAAGTGGCAGAGGCAGGAGTATCTGGCCCTTGACTGGGCCAGACAAGGACCCAGACAGGGCTTCTCTGCAAGGGTCTATTTTCCTTCCTACTAGGAATGCTGTAGCAGAGTCTAGGACCTGAGACAATTCACTGGACATGTGCAGGAGAGGTCATCACAGCCTGGGGTCCTCCAGGAGCATCAGGTGCAGGGACAGCACATTTTTGATAGGATTTCAGCCTTTTACCTGCACCCATTCCCCACCCTCTGACCAAACTGAAGAGGTGTTACTAGGGAATGGCCTCCCTGGTGGCTGAGGGGTTAAGTCTCAACTCTATCAAGCTATTGGCAGCCACTGCAGGATGAGTTTGAGCTGACACACATGGCACAGCAGACTATGTCAGTCTACCTATTCTGCTCCCAACTTTGCCTCTGATGAATCCTCTCACTCTGGGTTACACCCCAATTCTTGTACGCATAAATAAAAATAAATCTTTAAAAAAGAGAGAGAGAGGCCCTCCCTGGTGG